CCAATAGAGGATCAAGAAAATAAATGTATTGGGAACCACTCTGAAGATGGCGAGCTCATTCTCAAGAGAGACTATGATTATATAACTGAATCTGCCCAAGTAATTCATTGGGGGAAAATCATTTGAAATTATCACATTCCACCTTCAAGGTCGCTTCTATTTTGGAGATTTATCCAAAATATGTTGCCTACTGATGATTGCTTAGCAATAAGGGGCGTGCAATTTCCCTTTACGTGCAATACCTATGTGTAACACTCTAAATCCTCTGATCATTTATTTTTAAGTGTCACTTTGTAGGTAATATTTGGATGAGTTTTAAATCACAACATTTTATGTGTGGAAGACATTTGGACTACGATAAACAAACCTTGGTCGGAATAATTCAGAACAGTTGTTATCTCGACTGCAATCAACACACTTAACAATATTTGGCATGCAAGAAACAATGCCAGGTTCAATGGGAGCAAAACTAAATGGAAACCTGAGATCAACTCGATTATTTAGGAGGTATCATTTGTTGAGAATGTAGCAAGTGTGAGTAGCGTGGGTAATTGTCCCACATTGGTTGGAAATATGGAGACTTAAGAATTTATAAGTGAGAGAATCCACTCACCTATCACCTTGAAGTTTTGGGTGAATATGTGATGTGTCTCTCACAATGGCCTGCTCCAGAATGAAGTCTCACAATGCTCAATGCTCCCTAGTTGAAAAAACTCCCCCAACACATGATATCAGAGCCTTTGGTTCAAGAAAGAGACCGACTTACTTGTATCGAAAGTCAATGGCGCCACAAGGATGATGAGTAAGAAATGTTTCGTTGAATTGTGCCAGCGGTGCCACAAAGGTGGTGAGTAAGAAACGTTCTGTCTGAACAAGAGTTTATGGAAGTAAGAAGAGCTTTCACTTGAGAGGGAACCTTTTGGAATCACACTTTAGGAGGGGAGTATTAAGAATGTAGCAAGTGTGAGTAGTGTGGGTAACAGTCTCATATTGGTTGGAAATGTGGAAACTTAAGCATTTATAAGTGAGAGAACCCCCCTTCCATCTATCACCTTAAGATTTTGGGTGAATATGTGGTGTGTCTCTTACAAAGGTGTTGCTCCAAAAGGAAGTCCCACAATGATCAATAAACCCTAGTTGAAAAAAAGTCCCCCAACATCGCTCACATGGAAATTAACTCCTATATCTTGTTCAAATTGTGTTTTGGATTTTAGGATCCTGAAAAAGTTTGGAGTCAATCTCCATTCTCCTAAGAATTGAATTGTTAGAGAATTCCTTTGACACCATCCAGTCGCGAATTGGACTAAATGTAACGTCGACGATTTTATGGTTGGCGTTCCTAGCACCGCAGTTTGTGAAGGAATTCTTAGGGATCACAACTTCAATCATTTGGGTAGTTTCTCTTTGAACATTGCGTCAGGAAATACTATTTTTGCATAAATTTCTGGTGCCATTATGATGATTGAGATACCAAAAGATAAACATTGGACACGCTTATGACTGGAATCACATTCACAATTGGTTGTATTATTAGCTTTTACAAAATCTTCAACTGTTCCTTGGAAGTTAAAGAATAAATGAAAATTGCTTTACATTAAGCTAAATCCATTTTTTTAGTTACTCACATTTTTAGAGAAAAATATTATTTTGTCAATATACTAACTAAAATTGGTTTACATGTACATGAATTTATTTAATGAAATGTAGTTCATAGAAATATTCTTATGAAATTTGTTCGCAACTTCATTAAATTTCTTTGCTTTTATTGAAGAATTTTGGTTTGGTTCCCTCAATTTTTGCATCTATATAACTACTTTTTTTTTTCTCTTTAATATATTTTTTGTGGTGGCTCAAACCACGTTTAAAAAAAAAGCATTCCATCGATCAAGTAAATAAAAATAATTAATATGATGTTTAGGGTTACAAAGATAATATATATATTTTTTCAAAAAAAATTTAAGTACGAAAATGAGGGTACAAGGTGCATCCATCGTTAAACATGGCCATGAAATATTTGACCATGTTAAGACCCTCCATTTATTGCCCATCACATCTGCTATAACTACTATAAGTACGTGTTACACACGCGCTAACGAAAAACACATTAATCCAATAACTAAAGCGCGTGTTTCGAAAATCAATACTATGAAAGTGGTGAAAGGGAATGAATGAAATGAACATATAGAAAGAGAGTGGAGAACCGCCGGTGGTGAATGGTAAACCTTTCACAGTCAGAGGGGCCACCATGTGAAATTGCCAATACTGTGCAAAATGCATATTGCAATTGTCTTCCATTCTCTTCTTTTACACAATCTAGAATCCTAAATTAAACTTAATTCCAAAAAGAAAAAAAGTTAAAATTTTTTAAAATTCAATAAAAGTCTGAAAATAATTAATTCTTTTTTTCATAAACACTTATTTTAGCATAAAACTAGATTTGATTTTTCGTTTTAACAAAAATTAAACCATAAAAAAACATTTCACTCCACTATGATTTTGAAATCAATTTTTTTCTTTCTATTTGTTTATATTTTTACTATGGTATATTTTATCATTTTAAATTTAGGTACAAAAATCAAAATTTTTTTATGCCTACCAATTAATAAAAGAATTTTAAACTTGACATCAGAAGAGTGTGAAAAAGAATGTCCAACCATGCTTGACTTGGTTGTGTGACTTGATTCAAGTTATGGATTTAAAGATGGTCAAGATGGCATAATTTAATATATTAAATATCAGAAGTGACTATTTAATTTTAAATAATAAAAAAATATTATTTTTTAACTTTATTAAAATTCATTAATTTCATATATATATATATATATATATATATATATATATATATATATATATATATATATATATATATATATATATATATATATATATATATATATATATATATATATATATATATATATATATATATATATATATATATATATATGAGTTTGCTATAAGTGGACGTATTATAATTATCAAACATTAACTAAAATATGGTTAAATATATTCTAAATAATAGTTGCTAAACTATTTTTTTATAAAAACAAGTGCATCTACGTTATAAATTATATATATATATATATATATATATATATATATATATATATATATATATATATATATATATATATATATATATATATATATATATATATATATATATATATATATATATATATATATGACTTAATGTCATCTCTATTTTATTTTATTCATAAAATTAAATTGTCTATTACAAAGTTAAACTGTTTTTATTATATTTTATATTTTATTTTATTAAAAACAATTATATGTTTTTTTTTAAATTAATATTTTCTTTTTATAATATGATAAATTATTAAATATTTTTTTTTTGCAGAATTTTATTAAAAAAAGGTAAGTTGCACATTATTAAATAAATGTCCGTGTTATCAATTAAGTTCAAAAATATAAGTAACCATTATTAAAAATGAATACAATTTTAGTGGAAAATGATGATAAGTGGATCAAAATTATTTTAATTTAAAATACGATGCCTAATTATTTTGAATGAGTTTTTGATTTTTTCTAGTTTTTTAATCAGTTAGACTTTATTTCCCTTCATTATTTTTTCTTTTTTATTTAATAAATTATATTTATTAAAAATTAATAAATTGTTAGTCCATAATAATTACCATATCACTAACTTTTTAAAATTTAATCTAAACTATTTCTAGATCCATAATGTATCACAATTAAATTTCATATAAAATCTTTATAAATTTAAATGTATTTTTGGTTTTAAGTCAGCAAATTTTTGAGTTTAGTTTTTATAATTTCTTTTATCTGAATCCCTATATCTTTTATTTTGTGGCGATTTAGTTCAAAAATTAAAATCTGTAGAAAAATATGAAGGAAAATCAGCAAGAAACCTACGGATTTTCTTGCGGATTTTAGTTTTATGGAATGAGATATAAGTACTAAGATAAAAAGAAATTACAGTAAATAAACTCAAAAACTCATTAAATTATAGAATTAAAAGACTATTTAAGTTATTTTTATAATTTTTAAAAAAATATTTTTCTTATAAGTGATTAATATGTTGGTTGATAGTAAAGATTAAAAGTTGATTGAATTAATAAAATATAGAAAAAAAGTATTAAATATTTTTAAAATTTTTTAATATAAAATTAAAATAAATATGATATCTTTAAAATAATATTATTATTTTATTAAACAATTTAGTTGTAATTAATTTGACGGGTTTAAAGGTAATTGTCGGGATAAAACAGTTTTATACATGCAACCAATTAAAATATCTATAATTGTTATGTAATATTAATATTTTTAAAATAAAAATATTTTTTATTTAATATATAATTGTAATTGGTTGATAATATAAAATATTATACACTTTAAGTATATTTTTTTTCTCTTAATTTGATATCTGTAAATTTTAAGTGATATTTATCATTTTCTCTATTTATAAAATCTTAATTCTGTTTTAAAAAAAGAATTTGAATTGCTTTCTAAATTAATGAATTGAAAGAGTATTATTTAATATTCTAATGATGATTTAGTTGCTTATCTTAAAAAATTGATGATTTAGTTGAACAAATATAAAAATAAAACTATAGAAATAAAAAAAGATTATGCGATATAATTGAAGTATATTTAATTTGAAATGTCCCTTACCCACGTCAGCAAAGCAACCCTTCACCATTCTCTTCTCTCAGTCTGATTTCATTCATTCAGCAATGCTTTTTAACGTCCCATCATCAATCTCTCTCCCCCAAAAAATTCTCAATTTTTTCTCTCTTTTTTCTTTCTCACTCTCTCAAAACCCAAATCCAAACAAAACGCTCCTCTTCTTCTCAACAAAACCAGAAAAACAAACCCTTTCCCCGTGAAAACTTAAACACACTATCATTCACAGCAGCAAAACGCTACCGTTTTATTCACACTGCAAGCAAAAACTAGAAACGTTTTTAATTACTTACCCTAGTTTTAAAGAAGCTTCTAGAACTTTCTCGATCATCATGGATTCATCATCAGGAGGAGGAGCAGTAGCAGGAGCATCATCTTCAGAACCTCCAACAACTTCTCCTACGGTTACCGTAACTACCGTACAACCGGAGGGATCTTCACCACCGCCGCCACCGCCACAAGCTCCACCAAGCCGTTACGAATCTCAAAAACGCCGTGACTGGAACACTTTCCTACAATATCTACAAAACCACAAGCCACCATTGACTCTTGCAAGGTGCAGTGGCGCGCACGTGATCGAGTTTTTGAAATATCTCGATCAATTCGGGAAGACAAAAGTTCATGTTTCCGGTTGTCCGTATTTTGGACATCCGAATCCTCCTGCTCCATGCGCCTGTCCGCTCAAACAAGCTTGGGGAAGCCTTGATGCGTTGATCGGACGACTCAGGGCGGCCTACGAAGAAAACGGAGGCCGTCCTGAGTCCAATCCGTTTGGCGCTAAAGCTGTGAGAATTTACTTGAGGGAAGTGAGGGAAGGACAGGCTAAAGCTAGAGGGATTCCTTATGAGAAGAAGAAGAGGAAGAGGTCTGCAGTGACAGTGTCAGCTGTGAGTAGTAGTGGTGGTGGCGCTAACGATGATAGTGGAGGTGGTAACGGTGGTGCCGGTGATAACACGGTTGTTGGTGGTGGTACAACTACATCTACAACTACTGCAGCTAATGCAAGTACTTCTTAGTACTGCCACCGCTACCACAGTATAGTAATCTTAATTATATTTATTTATTTTTCCTCATTTTTTTCTTAATTTTATGTCTTTAGTTTTTAATTCTAAGGAAATTAATTGTGATTAAAGCTTATTATTAAGTTACATATTTATTATTATTAATAATATTATTATGCCTATTTTCCATCAACAAAATTTGGTCAATAGATACTATTATTATTTGAATATGTATTTTTTTTAGCTCAATTTGCATGATCACTCCATTCCATAAAATCTTGAGTAAGTTGGCATTTAGTAATTAACTAATATTTTCAATTACTAGCATTCTCTTCCTAATATTTTTCTTTAGTTGCTATTGGTTTTTCATTTAATATGTTTTTGTTTCTTATGGTTTTGATTTTTTTTTTATCTCATGTTTTTTTTTTCTCTCTCTTATGGTTTTCATATTGATATGAAGGTAGAGTGAATTTTTTGAATAGTAACTCAATGCACTATCACTAATCACTATGGTGAAGCTATATATATATAATCCATATTATCATTGGAACTTGTTGTAGGAATGAACTAATTGTCAGAAATAAAAAACTCCCAAAGCATTTTTTATCTTGTTTAAAAAACTCATAATATTCTTTGTTTTTCTTGCTGATGGTATTGTTTTTTGGGTTTAATGTTGGAGAGTGAAGGAATAATCATGTGTTTTCTAGCTTGTACTTCATAGTGACATTACATATTTTAATCCACTATGTGAAGCTCCTTTGGTGAGAACTTTGATACATCATCAATTAGTTTGTTGAATATTTTGAACAATGGGAAAGAAAAACCACTGATATGTCTTTGTCTGAATAGTCATCCTTACAAAATGTTGCAGCTAAACTAGATATAGATATAACAACCCTTCCATAATTATGATTATGATCATAATTATTCCAGAAAAGATAGATAATCATAGCTTTCATCTTTGTCTTTGTTTTATGGTGACGCTAGCTGCTAGTAAAAAAAAATAGAGTAACAAGAGATAACAAGTCAAATTAATTAGTCAGTTAGAAAGAAGACCTAATTGTTCCATTCTATACTATTCATATGGTCCCCAAAGGCTCTTTCTGAATCTACTGGCCTCAATCTATCTACAATGATCCCAACACACGTGCACTATCTTATCATTTCTCAAAACTTTTTTTTGTTGCACATTCTGTTTCAGGTGCTCTTTTCTCACATCTTGATCTTAGATGGTGTTTTTTTGTTCTATGATTTTGTTTTTTCTAGTCATGAATAATGTTTGGAATCAGTAAATTGTCAAATCATAGTTTATTGTAATTTAGACCAATAGATAACTGTATGATACATGTAGTATTATTATACTAGTTAAAAGTATAATTATAAGAGTATTCACCAGCATTCTGAGTGTCCCTTATGATACCTATAATTGACATATCTTTCCGTGACAACAACACCTACTAAAAGATAAGTAGGCTACAAGCATCAATGAAAAAAAAGTGATGCCTTGTGATTGCTACTCATATTTTATTTGGAAACCACCACCTAAGTGTGAAAAGGATTACTAGCCTACCATACCCCTTATTACATTCTATATCTTTGTTTACATATATTAATCATTTTGTATTATTATAATTTGGATTGGATACAATTATGTCCTATTTGTTATTATAGCATAGACCCACCATTCCCTCCAAAACAAAATAACATTTCTCAATTTTCAATTTCGAATATATTTTTGGACCCATTTTCCACTTAAATCATCATTCATCTACTCATGATAATGTACCGAAATTATTTCTTTGCATATTGCTTTCTTGTTTGGTTCTTCTTTTTCTAGCATTATTTTTCTCTTCTCTCTCCATAAAACAAATATTCATATTTAACAACAACTTTCGCTTTCTGGCCTTTTCTAGATCCAAATTATTTCGTATAGGTAACTTTATTTTCTCACTTTATTTTTTGTTTTTTCTTTATTATGTGCGGTGCCCACTTTAACCATTTCGTTCACTACAGAAGTCAAAAAGGAAACAATTATATTTATATTTCACACTCAAAATTTAATTAGTACTATTTTTTTTTTCAATTAATACAATGAAATATGAATTGTCCATTGTTTGGTTATTTTGTTTTTTTAGCATTTACTATTTATAATATTTATTGATGTTTACTGTTACGTGGGACACGAGTTCTGAACAGAAATAAGTGCTAAGGAGCAAGATCACAAGGTTGATAAGGGGAAGAGAATCCCACTTAAGTTCTGAATATTTTTTTGCCTTATTTGTCGTTACATAAAATGATAGTAGCATTCTGTGCATTGGTCATTGCAAATTATAGTTTCATTTATGAGAGGGGTGGGAAGGGAGTGTTTTCTGGTGGGTGGGAAGAGATTTTTAGATATAGGAAGAGTGTGTGGGGTTCATTTTTGCCTTATTCTTAATGCACCTGCTTCTTGTGGTTGTCCTAAACAAACAACAATTTCAATAGTGTCTTTATTGAGGTTGTGGTTTGGAAAAAGAATATGCACGTATTTGGGCCTAATTTCATTTAAGATAAATTGTTTTTAAATTACTGTATATAAATAGAAAATTGTGTAAGTCTTTTTTCTAGTGACAAATATTGATATTGTCAAATGGGATATCATATTCCAGGTTTATACTTGAACCTTATGTGCATTTCTAATCATAACTTTCACTTTGTTTACCAAAATATAATTAAAAAAAAAAAAAGTCTATTGTTGCATATTAAAAATAAAATAGCAGCAAAAATTAGTGAAGAAAAAAAAACTCTAATCTTCCCATTTGTTGGAAATTCAATTATTGAATTTGAGAGAAATTTATGTATTTTTTATTCACAAATTTCTTAATTTTTTTTACTGTGCACTTTTATATTTTTTATGATAACACGTGAAAATACTAAAATATTTTAAAATCTTAGAGATTTATTTTGGATGTACCTCAAACATACATAATTTAACTCAATTCCGAGTAACGCTATAAAATTGTATCATTTTTTTATCTGAATATGCATCTCTGAAATCTGTCCATAGATGCATTTCTATAGCATAGTGAAATAAAAACAGAAGCAGAAAAGTAGTAAAATTATATTTTTTATGATAACACATGAAAATACTAAAATATTTTAAGATCTTAGAGATTTATTTTGGATGTAGTTCAAACATATATAATTTAAGTCAATTCTGAGTAACGCTATAGGAATGTATAATTTTTTTATCCGAATATGTATTTTTGAAATCTGTCCATAGATGCATCTCTATAGTATAGTGAAATAAAAACAGAAGCAGAAAAGTAGTAAAATTATATTTTGACAAAATAAAATTACCATTCATAACATAAAATCAAGCATTACATTTCAATATTTAGGTGGACGTTTCAACATCTTCATAATATCTTCGATCGATCTTGGAATCGTCACTTCCACCTCGGTTAAAAAATTTGTTTCGAAACAGGAAAAATATATTCTGCATAGCCCTTACATCTGCATCGGTCTTGAGATGATAGTTGTTGAACTTAATCTTACATTCGTTGTTAATTAACAATGAATGATACTTGAGCTTCACAATTTTTTGATTGTCTCCGTAAGATATGAGTTTCAGCACCTCGTATTGCAGATATGCAAAAAAGGTGTACTCATTGATCTTAAATTTTTGTCCGGATGTCACGCTGAAAAATGAGACATTTGTGACGTACCAGATGATGTTCATTTGCGACATTTTTTATTTGTATGATATAAAAAAACATGAACATATATTTATAGAAGTTGTAGACAAATATGGACCTCAAAAATCTATCTTGTACGTTGGATCAATGAAAAGCATTGTAGGAAACGTGTTGAACACCTTGATGAAATGATGATGAGTGTAAAATATATCTAGGTTATTCCATCCTCGCATGTTCGGTACATGAAAAACATAATTGTTATCATCCAAAAATTCCAGTAGTTCTTGCATTTCACTTCTACCCCTCCCCCCCCCCCCCCCCTTTAACGCCTTGTTATTTTAGTATCGAATATTGCACACTTGCTTGATATTTGAGATATTTTTGGATCTTTTACGTTTCAAAGTTGCAAGTATGTTTTTCAGTTGAAACAAATTCAATAGTTATCTGAAATGCATTCTTTCTCTTTCGACAAGAGAGGACATACAGTTGGGTGACCGACTAATTTTTCACACAAGTCATGGTTATGTAAATCACACATGCCATTAAATCTCCATTTACCATTTGCCAACATATAACCACACAACTTAAAAGGCACTCACATTTTCTTGAACTGGTGTCATCTTATTTAAAATTTTGCAGAGGAGATATATATTTCCCACTTCTTTCGCATGTCATTGTCATAAATGCACCTCTTCTATCCAAATCATTATCGGACCTTCTGATTACCACAACAAATCTCAATTTAGAGGTCTTTGTACGAATTCATTGAAGTATGTGATCACGAAATTCAAACTCTTGCTCATTTTTAAATTAGTTGCCAACATCTACCTTTTTCATAACAACACATTAAGCATCCAGAGACACAATATGTTAGGAGAAAACACCGGGGTGCACCATATCTAATGAAAACAGTTACAATAGTATTAGAATATTAATAGTAATTCATATTTATTTAGTTGTACTATTTTTCTTAGCCCCTAAGTTTGTTAGAGGGTATTTTAGTATTTTATCTTATTCTAGTAACCCTAGTTTTAGCTTATAAATAGGGTGACAATCATTGTAACTTTTATCATGTTTTTATAGCCGTCATTCTTAATAGAATATTTCCTTTGTTCATCATTTATTCACCTTTGCACCAACAATTGGTATCTAGAGCTCCGGTTTGGATTCATTGGGAAACACGGGAAACACGAGTGAACGTGAAGTATTGTGTGTTTGATTTTGATTCTTAGATTCGTGTTGAATCTTGAACAAAATCTGATCAGAATTTTAATTCTGTGGGTTGGGAAATACTGTGTGAGAAATCTGAGTGTATTGTGCAAGGTGAAGATGAACGGA